GCTGCTCATGATAGGCCTTCTCTGCGGAGATGACAGGGGCATAGGTGGCCAGCGGGAAGTGGATGCGAGGGTAGGGCACCAGGTTGGTCTGGAACTCGGTCAGATCAACATTCAGGGCTCCATCGAACCTCAGTGATGCTGTGATGGATGAGACAATCTGGCTGATGAGTCTGTTCAAGTTGGTGTAGGTTGGACGCTCGATGTCCAGGTTCCTGCGGCAGATGTCATAGATGGCCTCGTTGTCCACCATGAAAGCACAGTCCGAGTGCTCCAGGGTAGTGTGTGTGGTGAGGATAGAGTTGTAGGGCTCTACCACAGCGGTGGAGACTTGTGGTGCAGGGTAGATGGAGAACTCCAGCTTGGACTTCTTGCCGTAGTCAACAGAGAGTCGTTCCATCAAGAGGGAGGTGAACCCAGAGCCAGTGCCACCTCCAAAGCTGTGAAACACAAGGAATCCCTGGAGTCCTGTGCACTGGTCAGCCTGCAGAGAGAGATGCACAAGATTGGTCTGAGATGCATTTCTTTGTGAAGGCCTGACTATTCAGAAGACCCTTCCGGATCGGGTCCATCCTTGCCTTGGGTAGCTGCAGATCCCTCCCAGGATGCAGCAGGGCTTGCAGTGTGCTCTGAGCCCCAGCGAGATACTGGATCCTACCTGTCAGCAGGACAGGTCCCCTCTCCGGGGTCACTTACCAGCTTCCGGATCCTGTCCAGCACTTGGTCAATGATCTCTTTGCCAATAGTGTAGTGCCCACGGGCATAGTTGTTGGCAGCATCCTCCTTGCCAGTGATCAGCTGCTCAGGGTGGAAGAGCTGGCGGTAGACTCCTCCCCGAACCTCATCTAGGAGAGAAGAGGGGCAGGCTGAGCATGGTGGAGGCAGTTGGTTTGAGCCAGCCGCCGAGCAGAGTGGGTGCCAGCAGCCATCCCTCACCTTGGCTCCGCCTGCCACTGACATGGCCAAAGACCCACACGTCAGCAAGGCCAACACCAGTATCAGGTTTCTTTGGCAGCAGGAGGTGGCTGCCACCTCCCTGCGCAGCTCAGCTTCTCCCACCCATCCGGAGCTCCCTGCCACAAGCACAGCAGGAGCTGCTGTGCCGGTTGGGCTGGTTTCTCTCTGTGCACATGTGGTACAAGCACCGCTGCCTCTAGGACACTTCAAGAACAAAAGCAGGTGCTCAGGTTTGTGGCTTCTCCTGGGGAAAAAGAAGGGCCCTCGGGTTGAACCCAGTGCAGGATGTCGTCAGCAGAGCACAAGCACCAGACACCTGCTGCCTGCTACCCACCCATGGGGGCACTTCAGGGTGTGTGATCTCCAGCACTCACCTATCACAGTGGGCTCCAGGTCCACAAAGATGGCCCGTGGGACATGCTTCCCAGCCCCGGTCTCACAGAAGAAGGTGGTGAAGGAGTCGTCCCCTCCGCCAATGGTTTTGTCACTGGGCATCTGCCCGTCGGGCTGGATGCCGTGCTCCAGGCAGTACAGCTCCCAGCAGGTGTTGCCCATCTGGACGCCGGCCTGGCCGACGTGGACAGAGATGCACTCGCGCTGGGGAGGGGGAGGAAGGGTCAGATCCTGGCACAGTTCTGTTCTGCCTGTCCCAGGGAGCACTGTGGCTGGTGCCAGAGTGCCACAGAGTCACCCATACACGACTTGCTCTGGTTACTGACCCCTGAGAGCACGTTTTCCTTCGGGTGACCTCCTGTGTGCCCCTGAGGGGCCCCATATGTCTGTCACTGCCCTCAGCCATGCACAGACACCATGCTGGGTCAAGAGCCGGCTCTGGCATTTCTCTTGCCCTGCCCTTGCTGGGGGCCACCAGCATAACAGACTCTGGCCAGGCCTGTCCTCCAGCAGCATGGGGAGCAGAGCCTGGACCAGTTTCCCTGCTCCAGCCACTTCGCCAGGGTCCCTGGCAGACCCAGCCCCTTCCCCTTGCCACAGCAGTCCAGTGAGGGGATGAGTTGACAGGGGCACACATTTAACCCATGAGTGGCAACCAGCACGGGGGAACTGCCCAGCCTGCTGCTCCAGAGCCAGATAAACCCTCAGTTTTCTGGGGTGAGTGGCCTTGGGGATACAAGGGTGGTGGGTGGCAGCCAGGTGAGGGCTGGCAGTGAAGCCCAGCAGTTTCTGAGGCAGCATAGAGACTCCCTAGTCCCAACCCTGTGCTGCAAAACCTGTGTTGGCAGAGGTGCTGGGGGGCAGGCTGTGAGCTGGAGATGTGCCTTGTGCACTCCTATACATTAAGTTTAGGCCTGCTCTGCTACCCTGGCATCCCTCCTCTGCTGCCCCTGGCACCCTTAGTCCTCTATCCCTGGCAACCCACCTCTGCTAGCCCTAGCATCCCTGTTTCATTATTCCCTGCATCCCCGCTTCCCCTGGCGGGACACCCCGACTCAGCCTGGGGGTCCTGGAGCATTTTGCTCCTGCTTTCCCCAACTGCACAGTGCCCTGAGCTGTGATGGAGTTCGTGTGCAGGTTCAGCACTGGAGTAGGACAAGGGTTCCTGCCTCTTGCGGGAGGGCCAGGAGCAGCCCCAGCCTCCGGGAGGAAGGGAGGGCAGTCCGGGGCAGGGTCCCCGGCAGAGCCCGGTCAGCACTGCGGCGGGGAGGGCAGGGCGCTGCGCCTCCTGGCACGGCCCCGGCCCACTCCCGAGTCGCTAAATATAGACAGCCCCGGCCCCGGGCGAGGGCAGCTGCGACTGCCCACTTCGGAGAGTGGCCCCGGCTCGCTCTGGCGCTGTCAGACCCCCGCGGGACGGGACTGGAGGGATGAGACCCCTATACCCGCGCCCCGCCACCAGCCCCGACGGGGCGCCCGCTGCCGTGGGGGGAG